ATTATTTTGTTCTTACCGTTGGCGCAAAATTATCATCGGGCGTGGAATCTGCCGGCCACGTATTAATGTTGATGTTGTCACTGTGAATAAACTCCGGTTTACGCCACATATTACCCTTGGCAGACTTGGCGCGTGCCGGCCTACCTCTCTTCCTCTTCTACACAAGTAGACAATTTACTTTGTAAATACTATTAATCTGCTTACAAACAATTGCCGTTGGATATGCTTAAATATGCGGCTGAAGGCAAAAGATAATCTGAGCAGAACCACTGTGAATTTCATAAATAAAACTGGAAGCTCTGTTTATTGGTTCTAATTTTAATTCCAGGATATCACAAGCACAAGAATGTATTTCTGGGAGTGTATTGACCGACTTACTTTCTGCATTTTAGGTTTATGTGCACATGCTTTAACCCGCCTACCAGGGCGCTTTTGCTGCTCGTCCTCTGGCCTCACGACCTGCCACAATGAGATTAATTAGATCGATCAAGAAGCCATGCGCTTAATTATACGTTACAGAATCAGGACTCTACTGAATCTGAAGTAGAGCCAGTTAACACTTCTTACTCTGAGAGGGACAAAGTCGACCTCGCTCTCTGGATCATCACATTCATCATCCGCAGTGATAGCGAGCGCGAGCCCCTCCTCCTAGGATCATCAAAAAAAGAAGTTGTTATCATTTCGTCGCAACAGAAAAATCGGGCCTCACGACCTCAAGATGATGAGGGTAATTAATTAGATCAATCAAGAAGTTGCAAAATCGTGACTATATTTGATCTGAAGTAGAGCAGCTGAACACTTACACTCAGAGGAGGTACATAGTCGACCTCACTCTCCGGATCATCGCATCCGTCGATCGTCATAGGCTGTTGGTCAGCAAGAAGAGCGAGCGCAAGCCCCTCATCCTGCGGTCGTCGGAATTGTTATTTAATCATTTCGTTGCAAGATGTTTAAATTCAGAAGAAAGATCCAAAACATAATATATTTTTTTGAAATAATGAAGATCCAAAACATTGATGAGAGGAGAAGCGGCCGGCCAGATGAATGAATAATAACCATAATACAAGTAAGCAAATAATGAAGGAAGAAGGAGATGACACATACGTGTTCATCATCATGCGTGGGAGGTGGTGGGACGGAGGAACTCCCTGCTGCTGCTGCATCGAAGACTATCATCGCCATGGCTCTGCCTCTGCCTGTGTTTGTGTGGTATGGTGTTGCACGACGTACGGGAGGATGAGAGGAGAAAGACGGAGACGGGTACTACTTAACGGCTTTCGTTGGTTTGTTGGTTTGTTTACAAAAACGTTCAAAAACTATCCAAATATGCGGAGCTGCCGGCCTGGGCCTGGAAATGGAAATCAGAGGGAGGATTCGTTTCCATATATTTGTATGTTTTTCAAAATCAAATCAGAGGATCCGTCCTTTCCTTTCCTTTCCTTGCATGCATATGTCCCTTGCCGTTTGCGTCTCAATCATATCAAACATGCCACCGTTGGTCTACCAGCCAAGGTCCCCTCACCAAAAAAATAATAAAAGTAATCTACAAGGTCTCTGTGCTCGGCTCACTGGGGCGGGGCGGCGCCGGGCCTGGGCCTGCTCGGGCCGGCCACTTTGGCCGATACGGCTGTGGTCCCGGCGTTCTCGGGCAGCGTGACGCGGACTTTCCGGCAGTACTGGGCGGAGACGTGCTCAGGCCAAGCTTGAGGCCGGCGGCGGGCGAGTGTGGCGTGCGGATTCCCAACGGTCATTGGGGTAGATCTAGGGTTGGACAATGGCGGGCTTCGAAGATCTGGAGTCCCCGGTCCGCTCGGGTGGGATCCCGTCATGTTGTGTTTGTGGAATGTTCCCGTGATGTGGCGTGTAGGGGAGATCGGGCGAGAGCTCTGTGCCTCGGCGCCGGGCCAATGATGCTTGTGGTGTCCCTCTACTCCTGGGGGTGCCACCTTAACCTTCTCCCTTCCATCCGACACTTAGGGTGAAAATACTGTCGCTCTTCTCTTGAAGGCGGCGCTTCACGTCATGCCCCTCTTGGGGGCATCGACGATGGGTGTGGAGGTCCTTCGGGTGTGATGACATGTCTCCTGTGCTTCTTCTTGCTGAATCGTCTAGTTTTGCACGCTCGTGAGTTTTTGGCGTTATCGGCTTGTTTTGTCATGTTTCTTTGTTTGATCGGCTTTTGAGGATTTCCTCGTACCATGTATCTTGGCAATATGACTATTACTATAAAGCGAGGCGCTACCCGCATGATGGTGGCAGGCTAGTTAAGGTTGCACGCCCAAGATGCTTGTATGTTTTATTCGGCATGGAGGCATTGATCGTACACCTCCTGAGTTGTCGTATTGCAGCACGCGGTGTTTGTCGTCGTAGCATTTCGTCAATGCCGTCACAACACACAATGGTCGTCATTGTAGCACTAGTCGACGTCGTTGCAGCATAGGGGTAATGGTCGTTGTAGCTAGTATTGGGTCACAACCATCATACCTCTAGTTGCTATCATCGAAGGAGCACTTGGTGATCATTGTCACAGCACTGCTCAACATCATTGTGACACACGGAGGTCCATCTAATCGGTCCCAATGGATGAACTTGAGGAGGATCGAAGCTCGAAGACTAACTCGAAGAAGAAGCGCCGCTCATGAGCAAACTAAAACCCTAACATATCTACTAGCCAAAGCCGAGGTACCAGGATTCTCCTCCCCACCACCAACCGCCGAGGTGACAGGCTGAAGGGAGGCGAATCCACATGCTTGCCGGTGGAGATTGACGGGAGGAAGGTTGTGCCCTATTCGCCTTGCAGGAGGGAAAAGAAAGATGTAATATCCGTGACTGCTATGTTCGTCTATAAAGCTTTGATACCCATCTTTGCAATTTGACTATCTTTTGCTACATTTTCGTAAAAACATAATCCTCCTTGTAGCCGCCACACATGATGGCACTGAGGTTTCGCTGGTTCACTTATTGTCACGTAGAAATCTGGCATCATCATGTTTGGCGTTGGTTAAAGAAAGTCAAATCCAGTTAAAATTTTATTTCAAACCATCGGATTATATATAGATATGCTTAAATTTTTTCTAAAAATGGTTCAATTGGGTTGATATTTTTGAACAACTTGTTCAAAAATAAATAGGTCCAAATTCTGGTAAAAAGTTGATACTAGAGCTTTCTGAAAAGCCGGGGTCCAACTGGAAAGCTTGAATCTGTTGAGAACAAGTACAAAAAGAGTCGTGCTTTAACTATGCATATGATGATTATTTGATCAACACTACAAGTACTACATGCCACTTCCATTAGCACTAGGTACATGAACACGTACACACATTACATGGATCTAGAGTGCTCCATAGGCGGTGGTTTGTACGTTAATGTAGATCAAAAACTGCCAATTGCAGGTGTATGTCGGCGCCGAGTAGACGTCCTGAGACTATAAATTGATACCGCCCGAGGCGGATCCATGCCGCAACAGACTACGCAGACCGTCAGACGTTGCCTTGAACTGACAGCACCATCACCATGGGTTGCTAGTCTCTCCCATGGGTTGCTGCTTTCACTCCAAGCATCGTCGACGCCTACATCTCCTTTCCAGACGGCCATGAAGAAAGATGTAGAGGTATATCTCCATGGCTGATGGCGCGCCACCATCTTCGAACTCGGTGGATCACCAAGCCATGGCAGCAAGGCCCGAGAAGAACAGCCACATACTGCCCCCTACACACCGATGGCGGTGGGACAAATCGGTTTCTGAGATATGGCAAATCCAATCAAGCGACGTCAAGCACGAAGAAGAATGACGATAACCAAAGTGCCGTTGCTTGATCAGCTTTGCCATAGCTCACAAGCTCAACAACATTGCCAGAAAGAAAAAAACTACATACATACATACATACATACATACATACACAGGAAAGAGTGCCACCTACATGCTCTTAATTTCTACCATCAGTTCGTTATGAAAGCTGATTTCTGTATGGTAACAGTCACAACAATATGTAGCTAACCTAAACAACATGGCACCATTTTTAGCAGCCTCAAGTTTTATCCAACGGCGCAACAAACCACCACCGTAAAAAACATCAGCCAAATCTCGACAGCATGATCGAAGACCATTTGCTGGACATTCAATAGGGCTTTTGTCTTTGCCGGCCACTAGACTTGTCTTCAGTCAAAATCTCGAGGAGCGCAAGAAACTCATCACTTGATACATTACACCATCCACCTCACCTGATATGAAGACAGGAAAATATTATTATTTTTGTTTCTGAAAACCGAGATAGCAGAAAAATATATGGAACGCTGCTGCTGCTGCAATATCTGACCAGGAGCAAGGAGTGTGGTACCTTCATCTAGGTCAGAATCAGGAAGACTCCTCTCTGCACTCTACAACCGAATCCCCCCATGATTACAGCCAGGATGCAACAACACATGCTTCCTAATTTGGAACTGAACTGAATCTGTGCTCTCTAATCGAACAAAAAATGGCTGCTGCCTCACATTACAAATTAGTTTTGTTGATTGGTTTCTGTCACAGAAATCAACGATGCAGTGAGGAACTGAACTGAATCTCATGGAAAGCAAATACAGCCTCTGTACTCTGATCTTGGACCAGCTAGCTGTTCCATTATAAACCAAACAAGAAGTCAAAAACAAATCTGCTCCTGTCTAATGGTTGCCTGGGCGGCTCACCCACATGCTATGCTGCTACAGAAGCAAAACAGGGAATGCTAATCAACAAGGACCACAGGAACTGGGTATATTACTCTGTATGTAAGCCATTGGCCATGCCAATTGCAAATTAAAAATCCTTCATAAAACAGAGAAGTACTTGTGCAAAACAAACAGAAGCAAATTTTACCTTTCTTTCTATGGTGCAAGGATGAGGTCCCGTTGCAGACAATACATGCTACAGCAAGACAAAGAAGAAGAATTTTTGTGAAGGTGTTCCTACCAGCCCTTGATGATCCACATCCACGGGAGAACGAACAAGGACAAATCTTTGTGTGTCAGGCAATTCCTTGCATTTTTCTTCTCACCATCTGGACAATGCGGACATACTCAAAGAACCGACTGGTGTCCATACCCATGGCTGTGCCCACTGTCATCGCTGCGCCTCTGTACAGACCATAATTTCCGCCAACAATCAGGTCAAAACCACCAAACTCTTTCATCAGGGCCTCAAACTCCTTAGTATCTAGCTTCTGGATCCTATCCAGTTGTCTCAGCTTTCCATTCTGCTGGGTTTCCCCCCACCACCTCTTTAGAACTCTACGGTTCACCACAGACTCCTCTACGGACACCACGCATCTCAGCGGGATGCCAAGACGGTGTAGAGCAACTTCTGCACCCCCAACTCCACTGAAAATAGAGAGGACCCTCAGCCCATCAGGATACCGGTCCTTTAGGACCGACAAAATGTATGCCATGGTGTCTGTCTGCAAGGCATACCTCAAAGAAGCAACCTTGTCGTGTGGGTCTATGCCCGGCAGATCTGTGTGGTTAGCTGGATAGCCTAGTATCGCTTCCATCTGGTGTGGCTGCAGAGGGCCTAACTTGCCTTGACCGATCCAGACAAGATTCGCCGTCTTGCATTGTTGGACAATCTGTGCTTGCTTCACTTCTGAAAGAATTCCTCGTGAATCTCTCATTGCCTTCTCCAGCTTCGCACGAATATGTTCAGTTCCTGCCACATCTAAGCCAACACCATCAATCCGTTTTCTCGTGTCCCAGGAGGGACAGAACTGCCTTGTCAAAGGTAATGCATCTCTGATCGTCATTGGTGAACTTGGAACAGCAACATGCCTTCCCTCCGTTGGAAGGTTATGAATGTAACCCTCCCTTCGCGTCAGAGCTGAGAAGGACTGACTGTTTAGATACTCCGGTTGAACATTGAATAAGAAACTCGATAAGGTATTCCAAGTTTCTTTGGTGATGTCAACCAGACTTGCATAGATGAAGAAGGGAGGTTTGACAAGGTCACCGTGGATATTTCTACCAGGGCTTGATGTCCTTTCAACACCTTCATCCTTCAGAGAACCATTAGCAATTGACCCAGAACAACGACTTAACCATGGAGTGCGGCTAGATTGATTAACATTCTGACTGCTTGACGCCCTTCTGTCATCTCCAAATGCATGCTTGGCCTTTTTACATCTGATGTTGGCATCATCCTCATCATCATAGAACCTCAATCTCGATGTTGAATACCCAGTTTCTGTCTCGTCCGGAAATTCAGACTCTATCTTCACCTACATAAAAGAGAACATACAATGCCATGTTAGAAACAAGAGGGGTTATTGATTAGTTTTCATTGTTTTACATCCATGAGAGCATTTAAAGATGTCACTTTCCATATGAGCATTGGAGTCAGTGATTACATACTTTAATAATCAACAGATGCCCCCCGGTGTATTACACAGTCACCACTCCGAACAGCCCGAGTCTAATAAAAATGAATGTCATTTAGTTACCTTTTTCTGCTCAGTGGTATTTGAGAAGCGTCTTGCAAATATCGAGTCAGCCAACTCCTCGACTGTTGCTTCCTCACCTGGAAAGAGTAGGAAACATGACATTTAAGGTTTCTGAACTCAACAGAGCAGACCAACTAGTAGACTGCAAATAAACATGTACTCGTCAGCTTAAAATTGACAGATTGATATATTTAAAATTATGGCTACAGCTCTAATCCTGACACCATGTTTACCTACCGAAAATAGCAATCACAGCTGAGACCTCTTCTTTATTGAAACCCATCTTGAGCAAAGAAAGTGGTTTATCCATTACCTCAGGCAGCAATTCAGCAGTTTCCTGAAAATTTGTCATTTTAAAATTAAAGTGTGCATATTGGAATGCTCTAGAACAACAAATTCACCGCGCATTTAGTTACTTCTTTCTGTTCAATGTTATTTGCAATTCGCCTTGCCAGAATTGCGTCAGCGAGCTCCTCAACTTTGGCTTCTTGACCTGAAAGGAACGGAAAAACATGACATTAAAGTCTGTACGAAATCACCAAAACAGACTAACAAGTGAATCAAGTCTGCTACAACACGCAGATGATACCGTCATCTTAATGGAGAGTGCTGACAGTAGCATTCAATTTCCTTATGTTGTTTTGAGGGTATGTGAAGGGGAGCCTTGGCGCAGTGGTAAAGCTGCTGCCTTGTGACCATGAGGTCATGGGTTCAAGTCCTGGAAACAGCCTCTTACAGAAATGTAGGGAAAGGCTGCGTACTATAGACCCAAAGTGGTCGGACCCTTCCCTGGACCCTGCGCAAGCGGGAGCTACATGCACCAGGTTGCCCTGTTTTGAGGGTATGTCAGGCATGATGATTAATTATCACAAGAGTGAGGTTCTGGTTTTGGGGATAAACTGTAAAGCTGGGTATCTTATCTCTGACATATCTGGTCAAAAGGGAGTCAGTCTGTAGACCTACAGATATTGGGGTTTGGAAATTGTTACATAAGTGGATTTGGAAATTGTTCAATGACGATAAAGTTCCTCTATGGCTTCATCTCATTAAAAATAAATATATGCTGGAATGTTCCTCTATTTTCATGACTAACACTAGGGGATCAGAATTCTAGAATGGGCTGCAGAAGATCAACATCTCTTTCTTAGGGGAGCTAAGTTTGTTGTTGGTAATAGGGAGATTTTGGCAAGGTTGTCGGATAGAGGATATTCCTTTCAGGATTAGATTCCCTAGTCTGTTCAGTATGGCGGATTACCCAGATGCCACTGTGGCCCAATCATATGATTCAGAAACAGAATGTCGGGACATCAAGTTTAAGAGAACTTTGGGAGGGATGACATGCGTACTTGGGAGGACATGATGGACCTTCTACGACCTATCTATCTCAGAGATGTACAATACAGAGCGAATGGACTCTCAGTGCTGGCAAAAATTACCGTGCCAAGTCTACTTCCGGATGGCTTTCTCACCAGAGAGTACTGACACCTTTTTTGAACAAGATGTGTGGAGACTAAAGGTTCCTCTGAAGATCAGAGTTTTAGCTTGGCAAGTGTTGCATCAGAGGATTCCCACTAAGAAGCAGATCCGTCGTCCTCATGGGCTGACAGATGGCTGCTGCCCTCTCTGTTTGGCCCCTGAATCCATTGACCATCTTCTCTTCCAATGTCCTACTGTTCTGTTTGTTTGGTCTTTTGGTAAGGAGTTTCTGGCCAGGAACAGGAGTCCTGCTTCTACCCAAAACTTTGTTTCATGGCTGAAATGGGAGTATGGATTGCATCTGGTTTGGGGTATGGGCGATTTGGCAGGCATTGTGGCACGTTAGGAATGATCCAATCTTTGAGCGAAAATTTCTTAAACATTATGCTGAATATGCTGTGCTCCGTGGTACAAAAAGCATGTTCAACTTTATATCTCTTACAGGTGTGCTACTCTACTGCAGGTTGGTTATGGTAAATTTGCTGTTGTGCGGTGAGAATATCATCTGGAAGACCATTAGCCCAACAACCATCAACAGCGGAAGTGGTGCTGAATTTGAAGGGGCTTTCTTTACATGGTTTCATCTTGTATTATGGAACGGGCGGAGTATCTGGTAAAATAAGTAACAGAAGCTAACAATATTGAAGATTTTAGGAGCACCTACCAAAAGCTTCAATAGCAAATGAGACTTCTTGTTGAGTAAACCCCATCTGGAGCAAAGAATGCGGTTTATCCATTTGCGCAGGCAGAAATTCAGCATTTCCCTGAAAAAGTGTCATTTTAAAACAGAAGTATCAGGCCTGAGGTTGCTCACATTTGCATATAAATTTAGCAGTCCTGTCTGAAGTTCATACTACAGTTATCGCCCATCAAGAACATGCCTGAAGAATTATTCTGTTGAGAGCTTGATTATTGATAGGTATGTCAAACGGAACAGTTCTCTAGTAGGACTGAATAGTACTTTTCATTTCTGTTTATTTTTAGTGCAAATTGCAGTGGAAGAAGGAAGGATGGAGCCAGCAGAAACGTTGAACCCACGAGCACAACCAGCAGATATGTTTGATTAGTACTTTTCATTTCTGTTTATTTTTAGCAGTTTTATGATTTTTCTAAGATTGTTCTTGTGATTCATGTTCAGAATTACAGAGACTGGAACACCCAAGTCAAGTGTGAGCGAATGCGCTGGCTCTAAGTCAAGGTCATGCAACACGAAGTCGAGATTCCGAGGTAGAAGCAACAGCTACTAAACAAGAACAAAAGGGATCGGGAAAAAGAAACCTCAGTTTTAGCTTCTTGAGCGGTCACAATCCAGTTCACAAGCTGATCAATTGATGCTCCCTCGCCTGAAAAGAAATTAAACATATGTTGAGCAGAAAGCAAATGGTTACTACTACTTTTACATGTCGATGCAGAATCACATACCCAACTCTCTGACTGCCAAATCGACCTCTTGCTTCGAGAAGCTCATTTTGGTCAGCAAATATGACCTCTTTTTCCAGAAAGAATCTGGCTCCTGCAGAAGTTAGGAACATTCAGAAGATTTCGACAGACAACCTCAAAACGAATGATATACGACAACGACAGCGGGTACGAGGTGATGATATCACCTCGGTATCTCGGTCAGCTTCTGTTGTGGGCAGTGAAGGGGCACTGTTTTCTTCATCGTCTGAATCAAATAGACTGCCCAAAGAGGTTGACGATCCCGACCCGGTGTTCTGCGAGGCCTATAACATCAAAGTAAATTTGGTATTTTTTTTAAGAGCGTCATTAGCGAGAAAAGAGAACTCGAGTGAATAGGCAATGTCGGCAGCTACTACCATCTTGATCAAAGTCTGCCTTTGAAACTTGGCCCTGAAAAGGAAACGGTAACGACGACATTAATATAGAGACAACAGAACATAGAAAAGTTGGGGGACATAACAGAACAGAATCCTGCATAATCCCAGTTGAGAAACTCGCGGCTCGTGGGCTTCACGGAAGAGAAGTAGAAACAAAAGCAGTCTCGGACAATCGACAAACATGCATCGACCCTAAGCAGCAGAGCAAAACATGCATCAACACCAACAGGGACATGAATCTGCCTGCTAATAATTAGAACCCATAACACCAACAGGGACTCTTTATCCATCACAGTCACAGATCATCATTCCTGAATGAATTGCTGCATCTTCATCTGAATTCCTGCTAACCAGGCAAGGGCATCTTCATCTTCGCCATCAGAGGTACGGAGCAGCACCCAATCCCCCGAAATAAATCGTAAAAGAGACTAATTTCAGGCCGCCCGGAGGTGCCGGAAGCGGACCAGAGTACAAAACGCACCGCCGCCACCTCTACATCTCGCCGGCCAAACCTGACCAGCGAGAGCACGACGGCCCCGGCTCCGCCACCGGAAGCTTAGCCGGATTGGGGAACAGGGCCGGGGCGGGCACACCACCACGCGGCACCCCCTCCACCGCCGTCGCGGCGCCCAGAGAATCCCATCGCGAAACCTACCTACTTACAATGCCTGCGGCGAGCCGGGGATCCCCCTCTCCTCCGGCCGCTAGGGCGGCAGACGGAGGAGACGACGGCTCGCGGCCTCGCCGGCGGTCGAAGCGGGGAAGAACCCTGCCTGCCTAAGAGAGAGGGAGGGGAGGAATAGAGCGAGAGCGAGGAGAAGAGAGCATTACCTGCCGCGGCGGAGAGGGTTTAGAGCTTCAGACGGCGGCGGCGGCGGCGCCGGCCCCGGAGGAAAAGCCCCCCTTTTTCTGTTTGTTTGTCCAGACGCTCCGGCCAAAAATGCTAGACATACAAAGACTTGCACGCTTTTACACGCTCTTTTCATCTACTCCCTCGGTCCGGAAATACTTGTTATCAAAATAGGATTTCCGGACGGAGGGAGTAACAACCAATCATAAATCTCCCTCCCCCTGATTTTTAGGGGGTGGGCCGTCCCGCTCACCTATTGACCAATCAAGATTAACCATCTTGTAAATGCCTGTAAATCGTTTGTACGTGGCTCCGGCTGCGAGAGCAGAATGCAGCCGCCGCCTGCTTTGTTACCTTGACTGTGCAAATCAGTACTTGAACTCTAAAACTATGCTTTGGAGGCCCATTTCTCCCTCTTTATTTCTTTCCTTTTATCATCCCTTTTCATCCTTGAATTATTTTTAGGGTGCTCTATAGGGGGGAGACGAACCGACCCGATCACGGCGAAGAGAGTGAGCGGTGGATAACCGCGACCGGGACAAAAGAGGGACACGGCCGACCGTTGCCTACTATGACGATCGTCGTGTCATTAGCGTGAGCCCTTGCTATAGTCGGCGATACTTGTTTCATCTGCCTCATCTCACTCCTTCTTGCCTTCAAGCCCACCCACTATTCACCTCATTCATGACGGTGCCACTTGTGCCATACCTCAATTGTCAAATTTTATGCGGACTCCGCTTACCATCTCCTCGTTTCAAGAAATTGCGGCATATCTTCGGGGACTGGCAATTCCAAAGCAAATGCTAGTGATATATAAACTGGTAAATAGCGCAAAATAAGAACCATAGAGAAGATGAGAAACTAACCCAGCGAATGATGGCACATGAAGACTAACCAAATGCATTCTCATTTTGTCCTGGACATGTATCTCTTGCTCATCCTACACTTGCAGAGAGAACATTCGTGTTGAATATGTTTCGTGCTTTGGAACTGGAGTAGGTCAGCTATGTGTTTAAACCTTACATTCATGGTATCCTGGAACCAGGAACAAGATAAAGAAAACTCTGTCGTTTTTGCAATTGACTTCATCCCGATCCCAACCAAACCCCGAGTTGATGATGGTTTGTCGTTGTTGGATCAACTGAAAGCATGGGAAAGAAAATCATTTGAAAGCTAAGGAGCCTTGTTATCCTTTCACTTTTTGAAGAAACGATTTTCCTTGACCATAAGGAAAGCTCAATTTATCTTTTTTGCTGAGAGCTGGTCAGATGTCCGAATGACTTGAAATTTGGAGCGGGTGTCACGCATCAAATTGTCTATCACACAAAATTTGTTTGGAATTTTTATGAATTGTTTTCTAACCGGGTGCAGATACTCGATGCCCTCATGCCTCGGAAAAAACAAATGCGAGAAGAGACGTAAGGGCAAGGAAGCATGTTTTCAGGCCGAGAAAGCGTAAACCTGTGAAATACGCCACCATCTAAACCCACTCTAGCACCAGCTCCATCGACGACTGGTCGGAGTTTGATCCCATCTCTCCTCTCGAATCCAACCCAAAATTCCTTCCTTTCTTTCTTCCTTCCGTCCGTCCGAATCAAAGTGGCCTCCCGAGCTGCGCCGGGAAAGAAGGCCCATGGCGACCCCCCGCCGCCGCGAGCTCCCCCTGCCCGCGCTCGCCGCCTTCCTGCTGCTGCTCCTCCTCCTCGCCGGACGCGCGGCGGCCGACGACGCCTCCAGCGACGACCGCGGCCACGACGCCTCCCCCGGCTGCAACAACAAGTTCCAGCTGGTAAAGACCCAATCCCCATCCATTCTACAGTACTCCCCATCAGATCTCGTCGCCCCTCCGCTCGCGATTCGTGGATTGGGTTCCACTCGGATTTTTCCGGTGTCAAATGTGGAATCTTTCTTTCTTTCGACATAGAGTAGATGCAACCCGTCCCTGCTACAGTAGTAGATAAGATAAACTCTGCTTGGTTGATTGATTGATGCCCAACCTGACTTTCTGAACCCACACCCTACTGTGAACCTGGCAGCAATGTTCTTATGTGTTTTCTGATGGTCAGCAGCAGCAGCAGAACAACCACTTGTGTGTGGCAGCCCACCATTCTTTCTCATGCTTCCACATTTTCTTGTTCTCCAGGTTAAGGTGAAGAACTGGGTGAACGGAACCCAGGGCACGACAGTTATCGGACTGAGCGCGAGGTTCGGATCCCCCTTGCCAAGAACTGTCGACGAGGCTCACAGAACATTTGCTGCCCTCACCAGTCCTCCAGACTTGTGCTCGAACTCGACCTCAAAGGTTCGGTTTCGGCTCCGACATAACTCGGTTACTAAGTTGGTTCTACAAGCATCTTCTAGTCTAGTCTAAATCTAACCCTTGCTTCTGCAGTTAACGAATTCTATTGCCTTAGCGGCACGCGGAGGGTGTCCTTTCACCGCCAAGGCCGAGTTTGCGCAGGCTGCTGGCGCCGCTGGTTTGGTTATTATAAATGACGATGAAGGTATTATCAGGACAGCCTGAAATATATTGTTATCTCTGCCCTGTTCAGTATTTTTCTGGTAGGCGTGCCTGATTCTCTTGCAGACAGTAATCCGCTTGGTCAACTCTGTGTCTGCAGAACTTTACAAGATGGTTTGCGGTGACAATGATACTTCACTTAATGTGACAATTCCCGTCGTAATGGTGCCACATTCAGCAGGCAAGAATCTGAAGGACTTACTGGATCATGGAGCAAGGGGTAAGTACATATTCTTCTTAACTCTCCTTACTATTGTTAGCTGTTGAACTTTGTAATATTCTTTATTTCTTGTATTTTGCTCCAGTGGTAGATTTTGGGTAGTTAAACATCTCTACTCTCTTATTTCTGCTTATTGTTTTAATATTTTGCCAGATCGTTTTGCGGACGATATAGTCCATTAGTTTGACTCCATTCTGTCTAATAAATCATGTTACAAACAGTATCTACAGCCATCCTCTTGTTTGTTCCTCTAGTACCGATAGAGGTCCCAGAGCTGTGGATGCATCTATGTGCTTGTGAATCCATGCTAAATTGGAATGGATGTAATCTAACTTCTTACCAAAGGAGAGGACCGTCTTTGGCTCTTTGATCACATAGCTTCTACATTTTTTAACACAAGTCAGTTACTTAATAATCACATCTGTACTCATGTGCCATGCAAAACTAGTGTTATCTTGAACGACTGGTCTAGGTTACATATATTACGAGTTGATTTTTGATGCACCAGACTATGCATGCTAATAAGTCAATGTTCTTTTGTTGTAGTGGAGATGCAGTTATATTCGCCAAATCGACCAGTTGTGGACCTTTCAGCATGCTTCTTGTGGTTAATGGCTGTAGGAACTATAGTATGTGCTTCACTCTGGAGTGAATTCGTTGCATGCGAACAGATTGACGAGCATTATAATCAGCTGACACGGCAGGTCCTGACTTTTCTCCCTGTCCAGACTTAATGGCAGTTCATGCAATTTGGCTTTTCATATGTGTACCAATCAGTAAATCTCGACTCAGAACAGGGATGACTGATGACTGATGAGACATTAATAAGACTGCAATATACTCCCTCTGTCCCATAATCTAAGACGCTTTTTGACACTAGACTAGTGCCAAAACGACGTCCTACATTATGGGACAGAGGGAGTAGAATACATGATTGTTGTTTGATTATATGTTGTCTACAGTTTTTTTTTTCCGCCCTGAGTTGCAAAAAAATAATAATGTTGTGAGACACGCTTGCTACTTATGAATGATTATTAAAATAAAAAATAATTTGCATTTTATTGTGTTTGTTTCTAGCTAATGAGTAGTAATTTTCAGGTTATCACTTGGTGAAGTGTTTTGCTAATGAGTTTCTTCGTTTCATACTAAACAGCCGGGACCTAATTCTGGAACAAACAACACACAAGATAAAGAAATCCTTGAAATCACAGCAAAGGGAGCTGGTGTTTTTGTCATAGTAGCTTCAGTTTTCCTTCTCCTCCTGTTCTACTTCATGTCGTCTTGGGTCGCCTGGCTACTGATTGTATTGTTCTGCATTGGTGGTGTTGAGGTATTTCCTCGTATATTCTCTATCTTTGCACTCTTTTGATCACAAGGCCTGTCACCTTGTGCAAATACTTCTCTTGGCGCTTGGTTATTGAAGTGCTTGTTTAGTTTTTTATATTGGTATTCGGTTGTGAGTTTGTTTCTGTTTTGTGCTTGCAGGGTATGCATGTTTGCTTGGTGACAATTATCTCTAGGTAATGCATGAAATAGTTTACATCAAGCATTTTTTTTCAATGCTCTTTATTTTATTTATCTCCTCATTGTCTGTGCCTCGTGTGCGCCTTGTTTACAGGATTTTTAAGGGTTGGGGAAATAATACTGTACAATTGCCATTCTACGGGGAGGTCTTGGCCTTGTCTGTTGGAATAGTACCATCCTGTACGGTCTTTGCCATTCTATGGGCTGTATATCGGCATTCTTCGTTTGCTTGGATAGGCCAAGACATCCTTGTAAGCTGAATTGATGATGATTCTGATGTTCACTTGCTATGTTTTTAATCTTTATTTTAATCCTTGTAAGAGGGTTTTTTATGACCTTCAGTATTTAGTCTATTTAATCTATATTTTAACCATGCAGTCTGTATTTGTCACAGGGTATCTGCCTGATGATAACTGTGCTTCAGATGGCGCGCTTACCTAATATCAGGGTATTGGCATGTCTATTTGTACTTGCAGTAGTCCTAACAGTTTTACGACTCCTACATGTATCAGAAGTATCTAAGGCTGTATCTTTGCAGGTTGCATCAGCTCTTCTTAGTGCTGCATTTGTGTATGACATCTTCTGGGTCTTCATTTCGCCTCTTATATTCCATGAGAGTGTTATGATTGCAGTAAGTGCATTCTTGACCTTTACATTTACATCTGGAGTTATTATCAGTTACGCTCTAGTTTTACAGGTTAATTTACACAGCAGATTTTCTAGTTAAATCAATGGATTAGGCTTGTTTCTCCTCATCAAAAAGATAAATAAAAATGGAATAGTCTTGCAACCACATGATGAAGCCATTTAAGAAAGGTATACTTTGAGGGGCAAGGATTTGGTAGGTTGTAAAATCGAGAGAAGGACAGGACAGAATCCACAAGGGTTACTTGCTTAAATACCTTCAGAATATAAGAGAATAATCAGTAGCCTATCTTGAAACTGAGTGGATTGTTAGAATATTCAGTGTTATGATCTAATTTGGTGCTCTCATGACCCGTATAAAATTGATATATTTTGGCAGCAACTGTTCAGACTTGAAACTATAGTGAAATGTTTAGAACATGTTCTTTTTTGTGGTTTATAATTTGATGTTATTCAAATAAATTTTCAAGCAAATGATCATGTTTAGTGGCCTATCTTATTCTATTGTGTGCTGTGACTTGTGATTGAGATTTTCATTTTATTAAACCTTCAGGTTGCTAGTGGAGACAGCTCAGGGGAAGCAATTCCGATGCTCCTAAGAATACCTCGTTTCTTTGATCCATGGGGTGGCTATGACATGATAGGCTTTGGCGATATTATCTTCCCTGGATTGCTCGTTGCATTCAGCTACAGGTATTCTACGCGATGTTGCAATATATGTTGCTCCGTTAGTTCACTAATGGGTATACATAGAAGAAACATACTTAAATACTGTCCGGTAGTCTGGTCCCATCATGCTAAATGCGATGAAGGCCTTAAGACACACTATTTGTTGTGAACCTTCATTAGGGATAACTAACTACCATGCTGGAAGATAGGTTGAGGTGGTGAATATTTGGGAGATAATAGACCGATTCTTCTTGCTAGGTTGAGATTGAGAATATTTGGGAGATAATAGACCGATTCTTCTTGCTTATCTCAAACATCTTCACGTAGTGAACGCTTGGGCCCTTCTTTCCTAGCACACTAAGAACTCTGTTCTCTGAGAGGTTTACGTCATTTGTGAATGATACAAAATCACTTTGGTATACGTTTCAGATTTGATAGGGCAGGCAAAAAGGGTATCTTGAATGGATATTTTCTGTGGCTGACTGTGGGATATGCTGTCGGTAAGTGTGCTCGACTCGTCTTGTTCTGTACACAGTTCATTGTTTGTAGCAAGCAGTACCTTTTGTGCAGAGCTCGCATTTTCATTTTCATTTTCATCTTGTTTTTCCCCTTGCAGGACTTTTCCTTACCTATCTTGCGCTTTTCCTGATGGATGGACATGGTCAGCCGGCGCTGCTGTACCTGGTTCCTTGCACGTTAGGTAAGCATACAAATTGTTCCTTCCCTCAATTTTAGTTACTCCCTTACCTCAATCAGCGCGACTGATGCCCGTATCATACATTTTCATACCAGGGGTTATTGTGGTGCTTGGTTGGATAAGAGGCGAACTGCCTCACTTGTGGAACTACGGAAGAAGACCGGAAAATTCAGTCGGCGAAGTTTGAATTGTAATCTGACAGAGTTTGTATGCAAAAAGGCGGTGGCATCCTTCAATCTCATTAACTAATGGATCTGAACATGATGCTCCTTTTTTGGGTTGTAAAACTAGCAGTAGCCAGATTTGTGTTTGATAGCCTTTGTCGAACTTGAAACTCAGGTTTGACATGGGAGTTCACTCTGTATCAACAACAGATAGCATATATTTTACATAAGGCTTGAGCTAATCTTATTCTTACAAAAATCATGATCTTCTGTCAGACTGGAATAATAATCATTCTCAGGACATTGGGCCACTCATGTTCAAACATGTGTCGGGATGCAAACACAATCTAAAAAGTGATGCAAACAAAACCATTGACATCCTTCCACATCTGTGTCAAATTAGCTGTAGCCACATTTGTGTTTGACATAGGTTGTCTTCGTCGAACTGGAAACGTGCGAGTTGGTGCTCGGTGTGGGAGTTAACTTTGTACCAACAACAGATTACATATATTTTACATAAACCATGATCACCTCTGAGACTGGAATATAGTCTAAATTTTCAGGACATTGCAAATGCGAATATAATGGCACATTGGGCCACTCATGTTCAAACATGTGTGGATGCAAACAAACTCTGAAAGTGATGCTTTACCAAGAACAACCAAGTAGTTCATCGTGCCCAGCTAAGTGAACTTCCAAAGAGAAAAAGAGAGAACACCATTTAAGCATTTCATCACAAGTTTACTTGATAATCTGAGCTTCCAAGTTAACTAGTGAGGATGCAACCATTTAATCATTCCATTGCTTGTAGGATCAGGTAGATATATGAGCATTGTAAATTCTGGATGAAGATGAATCATCACATAAGAAAGAAAAGTTGTGCATAATAATAAAATGGACACAGGAATCACTCACAATGCACAATGTGGGGATTCATATTTCCACACTGGCATCACCCGATTAGACCCGTCTTGAGTTGAGTTTCAACCATACAGAAAAATAAAAGCATGCAGAACTAGCACAAGTATCCATCCGACTGTACAATTGGTGTTCTTTACAGAAAACCAAACCAAAAGCATCATCATCATCCAGTCATCATCAACTCCCCACATCTATCTGTACAGAGTTCGGGGGGTCAAAAGAGGGGGGGACCTAGCAAACTCCCAGACTGCGATTCAAAGCCGCTGCTTCAGGGGGGCGACATCCGCTGCGACAAAAACCGGTAGATGCGCCATGCCACGCCACGCCACAATTCCTGCACTACTGAACCAATCTTCCTCACTTTTATACAGTTTGGGGGTGGATACCGCCTTTCGTCACAAGACAGTTAGACTCCGCGGCGGCGACTCCGAGCCTCTTCGTTGGTTATATAATCTACAAACTCCCCGCCATGGATTTCTCCCCGGATATCTTCATCTCGTTGGGATTGTCGTCCTCTTCAAAGCCGAGGGGCTCCTTGCTGGAGCCTGCCCCACCATCCAGAGGCATGTGGATGCATATCCCGTTCGGGAATGGTTCCTGAGTTTCGTTCATGGTATTAGAGCACTTGCATTATGGGTCAATATTTCTCAAAAAAATTGCATAAATAAAACAGCAGTAGTAAATAGTGTCCCTGGGTATTACACTTCACTTTTGAAGGAATTATAACTAATATTTCAATACCATTATCATACCCTGTCATGCTTCACGTGACAAAATGAGATACTGAGTTCCAATTATCTTGCAACAGTTATATAACATGATTTATAGTGCCAAATAAGGCCGTGTTTTGTTCAATACAAGTTCATAAAACAGATGGCCTTTAACTTTCAGCATGCAATGCAACTTGTTACCTGATTTCCAGTCTCTGGTCCATTGGAATGAAACAGAATGGGGCGGCATCTCTTGTCCTCGTTCATCAAACTTGAATTCTGGAAATGTGAGATTAGTGCATTCCTTCCCTGGATCCTACCATAAGCCAATGACGCTACTTTCTCGCTGTTAAATTTCTCCCACTTCTTCCCATTGAAAGCCTGTAATTAAAGGTAGGCATGCAGAAGGTCATATTCCAAGCTGTTGAGATTAATTCAACCAGCAAGCATAGGCTGCTGTGAAATTCAGCTAGACATGGATTGATAAGAGAACAATGGAACATGTAAAGGACCAACAAAGAAAACACACCTGGTAGAAAGAGACAATGTGCACAGGGGATATCATGTTAATGAACGCATAACCAACATTGCATTTGTTCTGCAGGGGAAAATGAAGAAAAAAACAATTATTACACTGCTGGATATCCTAATACCTCATTGAAAAACAACAGCATAAAGCAATATCAAATATACTACCTTGAAATCAATTGGCAGGTAGAAGAAGTCATATGTTCCTTTGTGGAGCTCATCAATTGCAGCCAAAAGCATCTTGGATGTGTACCTATCGCATTCAGGAAAAACAGAGTGAGGACAACCAGCAAGCAAAATATAAAGAGCACACATGAAGACATCAAATGAGAACACGGGCATACTTGTTTGGAATGTTTTTTATCATCAATGTTGTCCGAGTATCCTCTCCTTTACGGATCTTGTCCAAATCAAGCTGATACTGCTTCTTGCTATCTGCCTGGAACGCGCTGCTGTCAACTCGGCGGTTACGACCACGCTCAATGGAGGAGCTGTCAAGTCCATAATAACCAGGTCCTTGATATGTGGTGTTCCCAAAGAATGGTGGTTGCCCAAGCCTTGGCGACGGTACTGGTCTGAAGTTAGTAGAGTTATTATCTGTCAGGCTTCCACTTAGAGCGGAAACAGGATTCAGGGAAGCACGAGAAGCCATGTTCAGCATGAGGCTTCCCCCGTTTCGGTTAGCACCGCCAATGTTCCCCATATTTGCAAACCTAACTTGATTCATAAACGACGTCTCAGGCGATTCAGGCAAAAATCCAAAGTGGCTCTCAAATGGAGCGCCAGAAGGGGCAGACCCAACATGATGACGGTTTTGATCCAAAGATCCGAACAATGAAGCCTGGCGACTACCATACAGGAAGCCCTGACCCTGAGGGCGGCTACTAGATGACATTGCATGACCAACTGGTGGTGGACGCCACATTGATGAGGATTGGGAATGCTCCGGATAAGGCTTTGGGCTGCCCCACAGAAACTCGGGCCCTGTTAAAGTCCCAGGACTCGAGCTCATATGCTCACTTTTGCGATCTTGGTATGACTGTGAATGCTGAAACGCAGCGCCAAGGGACTGGTTGCTGTTTGAGAATACTTGATCATATTTAGACCAGTTGTTGTCCTTCCCAATTGGCGCGATCTTCAGAGCATTTGACATCATTGAAGGGGACATTCCGATAGGACTCATTCCATTTCCAGTAGGTGAGTTGCTGAATGCATGCAGCAAATTGTTGTCGGTTGGACTGCCATATTGAGCCCATGCCCCTGCCAAGAGAAGATGCATTTCTTAGTTGTGAACAGGTGTTTAGAAGAAAATTAGATAAAGCGAGGATAACAAGACTTAAAACTGATCCAGTAAATGTACCTGGAGGAGAGTTGGCCATGGGCGATCCAACATGAGAATGCCTGTAACCTCTGGGTTCATCTTGCTCTAGTTCATGACCAAGGTGTTGCACCAAGCTAAATCAGAAGAAGAAAATAGAAGAAGAGTCAGATCAGACTGGTAAAAGTCATCAAAGACAGATAACTGAAAAATTGTGTTGTCCAAAATTCAAGTGAACATCTCTAGAGGAGCAAACAGGCATATCTAATGCTTATTCAGTATACCATTCGATAACTCTTGGAATATTCATACCTTCTGCGTGTTCCACCAGGACGACTTGGCTCCAACTTGATGCGTTTTCCAGCGATCTCGCTCTTATTCAGTGACCGAAGAGCAGCTTCTGCCGCCCTAACATCGTAGAACTCAATAAACTTGTGGTGCTTCTTGTTAGGCGTCTCTCTTATCTGCAAACAGAAATCAAACAGCTGGAATGAATACCCAAGGAAATATGTATGCAGCTGCATTTTCCAAGCAGAAACCTTAATTTAGTGGGAACAAAACTTGGGAGTAGCATCCTGACCTCCTTTACTTCCCCATAAGTTCCAAAAATCTGGCGAACTTCTTCATTAGAAACTGAGGGATCCAAGTTAAAGATAACAAGAGTCCCCTGGTTTAAATCTTTGTCAGATGGATTCTCCTGCAAAGATGAACAAGGTATTCATTTTCAAGAACTAACTTTGTGGCCAAGAGTTAAGGGTGTAGAAGAGAAACATAACAAACCTTTGGGATCGAAAAATGAATGTCAAGCTTTCTCCTCCTCAGAGGCTTATTCTGCAACGAACGCATCGCACCACGTGCAGCTCGGATATCAAAATAAGATATCATCACAAAGCCCCTATGCTTGGTTGCAGTGTAAAGGGTCCGGATATCCCCAAATTGCTGAAAGGAATGACAATAACGTCACTGTCAAGAACAACTGAGATTCGACATCAAACAGATACAAATAAGAACAAACAGTGGCTATAATTAGTCAATACAGAAGATGAAGGTGTCAAGATCATAAATATCCTTAGTCTCAAAAAAAGATCATAAATATCCTATATACAGATATTCAGTTAAAGGATACACCTACTGCTGCTGAGTAAAACAGACAAATTGGACTGGTTAAAAGGACATAAATCTGGTTCTATCTCTAAAAAAACAGAGTACATAAATCTGGTTACCTCAAAGAGAGAGCGCAGTTCAGAGTCCTCAACATTACTGTTAATGTTCCTCACAAACAATGTCCTGGAAGGATGCTCCCCCAACGGATGCTCCCCAGCCACAGCTCCAGGACTGTTTGACAGACCGAAATTGTTGTTTACTCCATTGGCCCTAAGCCCATCGCCTATACTTGCATTCCCCAAACCAACTGTGATGCTGTCCAGAGGGTCAGAGTCCAGCTCCATTCCCCCTCCACTGCCAAACACATCAAACTCCTCCAGCTCCTCCGCGGGGTTAGTCTGCCCTGCCGGCTCAATCCCATTTGTGATCCCGGCAAAAAGCTCATCTTCATCAGGCAGCAGGTCATCGATCTGCCGGAGATCAAAGTCAAATGGGTAGTCGTTC